CGGCTTCCTGCGAGCCCCGCACACTCACCATCAACTCGATGGTCTTATCCTCGATCACCGACTCCGGCTCCATCGCGCGCGGCGGCTGTGGCGAAAACGGCTCCTCCTCGGCAAGGGGGAGAGAAAACCCCGTAGCTGACCCCCTCGGCCCGGAGAGGAGGCGGAAAAGGAGGAGAGCCGTCGCCGGCTCCGACAGATCGACCGACTGACCCGCCGCCGCCGCTGCCGCCGCCACCACCACCACCACCGCCTCCTCGGCCGCGCGCCCGGAAGAGGAAGTGAGGTAGCGAGCCGACGCGGTTTACAACAGCCGCGGCCCTCGTCGGCTGCGGAGATGCGACAGCCGCCGCCACAGAGGAACGAGGAGCCACCGCCCCCGACATGCCCTGCGGCCACCCGGCGCGAAAAGACTACAAAGGCCGGCATGCTGGGCGGCCCCTTGCAGGGTGAAAGAAGGCCAGCAAAACCTGTGCTGGATGGAGCGGCCTAAGAAAACTCCGTTTCCCAGCATGCATGGGTCTGTCTGGCTCTCCTCCCTGCGGGGGGGGGGGGTGTTCGGAACTTGCTGGAAGAATAAAAAGCCTCTGCGCGCTTCCTTCGAGGGCTGCGCGGGTCCACCCCTTTCCTCCCTGGAGGCCTTCCTGGAATTGGCCGCGAGAGATGACAAGGCCGCGGGAGTAGCACGCGGGGCGGCTACCGACGTGCTGAGTCACTCCCTGGGTCCGTCTTGCCGCTTTACGGCCCCAGCCGAGGGCCAGCCCAGGGGTAGGCAACCTTGGCTCTTTTATGACTCGTGGACTTCAACTCCCAGAATTCCTGAGCCAGCATGGCTGGCTCAGGAATTCTGGGAGTTGAAGTCCACGAGTCATAAAAGAGCCAAGGTTGCCTATCCCTGGGCCAGCCCAAAGGGGCCTAGCGCGCTCTAAGATGGCCCGGTTTCTAAGTCTTTGAGATGGAGGTGCTGCATGAAATTCCTATAAGGATTGCTGATTTTTTTTATAGAATGCTACCTAAATGTGAAATGTATCGTTGCTATATTTTTTTTTTTTTAAAAAAAAAAAATTAAAGACAAGATAATCCGCAATTTAAAGAAAGTAAATAACGGTGCCTACATTTATTAATGTGTGCTTTAAATTTAATACTGTATACCATAACGTATTTCAGAAAACAAGTTTGCTTCCCCCGGGGCGTTTGATAATACGCAAAGGAAAATGCAGCTTCAACGTTCTTATTAGGGAATCAAATCATATCCGGTATTAATTATAACTGCTTCTGAGCTCTTTGTTTCTCTCTTTTTCTTTTGCTCTTTCACTTTTGACTTGTAATCTGTGAGTTGGAGAATTGTCCCTTGGAACAGTGGTTCTCAACCTTTTTAATGCCACGACCCCCAACCGGTCGTAAGTCGAGGACTAAACCGGTCGTAAGTCGAGGACTAAACCGGTCCTAAGTTGAGGACTTTCCCTGCCCGGGAGCGCTGCGCATGCGTGGTTCCGCCCCCTGCGCCGGCCGAGGCGTAGCTGGCAAGCGGCAGAGACGGAGCAGGCCGACCACCAGCTGGCCCAGCTCAAGGGAGGTAAGGCACCCGCCAGAAAAGGGGGAAAAAATGGCGGA